ATATATATCAGTATACCCCCAATGTAGTAAATACTAGGGCATTCATGAAGGTTCGAGAGAAGTGGCGTGACACTAGTCACGTGACCTCGCTGACGCAACATAATAATAATGTTTTTGTTTTATTTTCTGGCAAACCAACACAGCACTGGTGATGTAGAATTGTACGACATAGGACTGAACTGTAAGCAAATATTAATAAAATATATTTTACAGCTGAATGAACACAGGGTCCAACTACATGTTGTTTCTTGCATAGCATCTTACATAGAATGATCAAGAACCATCATTATCCCTACTACTTTTCCGTGTGTGCATACTTGTTTCCACTCAGTGACTGAAATATGTGTGTCTCTATAATAGGTCATCCTTCAGGAGGCGTAGGCCTAAACGCTAGATTTATACGTATAAAATGAATTTCTTATCCAATTATTCACATCAAAATGAATACATGCACAAATTGTATTAAGGATTACCAAGTTCCCGCTACTTAATGACACAGCATATAATTTGAACCAAATATTACTTTTTCTAAATTAAAAGTTCAAATAAAACAGGTTCTATAAATTAAACTACAACCTTAGGTAATGATCACTAATACCAACGCATCTAGTATAATCGCAAAAAGACCCAGCAAACCTAATATTATCATGTAGTAACTATTTTGCAAAATTAGCCAATAAATCACCAGTTTTCTCGTTCAGTAATTATATCGAAAGCTTAATATCCCCAGTTTTATCCTTCAGAGATTGTAATAGAAGCTGACCAAAAAATTTCCCGTTTTATTGTTCAATAATTGTGTAGAAAGTCTGAGAAAAACTCTCCAGTTTTATCCTTCAGTAATTATATAATAAATCTGACGGATGAATCACAAATTTTATGGTTCAGTAATTTTATAACAAGTACGACAGATAAATATTTAAGGCTTTGCACAGAAAAGGGAAAAACGTAATTTTCAACAACATTCCTTAATTTGGTTTTGAGAATACCACATTATTTTTCTTTCGCAAAGTTTATAATAGTCTGTAGAAGGTTTTTCGCATTTGAGCTTCATCACTCAGATTTAAACTAAGAAAATCGAGCTTCAATGGATGTATAAAAACTAGGGGTGTCGCGATACAGCGATGCGATACGACTATCGCATCGTGAAGCCGTGATATGATTGTATCGATACATCGTCCGATACGATACGATTTATGTATCTTTACGAAATTTGGCAAGCTTTCAGTAAACATCATAAGTCTTTCGTACAGAAAAAATCAGAATTTCTAATAAAGTATTTTTGCTTTTAACAAATTTCTTTTGTGTAATCTCTAATTCCACGAAATAAATGTCTAACTTTTTTTTATCGATAAATCTTCATATCTTATCTGTTATATTCACTATCCTAATTTTATGTGAAGTCGGTCAGTTTCGCCAGCCTCGTAACCACCATAAAAAATACAAAATAAATCAAAATTATCCTTTTTCTTTCTAGAATTACTATTAGTAATATAGATAATAAATTACAGACAAGACTGTCAAACTTTGTAATAAACCGATGGTAAAACCTTCTGTATCTAGATACAATAATAAATCATTGCAGATATAATATCTGTTGATGAAGCAACTTGTTGTTTGTTGTTTCTATATTTGTCCATTTATTTGCTTGTATATAGAACTACAGATACAACAAACGAAACTGAACATGAAAAAAATAATAAAATGAACAAACTCACCAATTGAGAATCTTTCCATTGAGGCTAATTGCCCCCAAAATGACCAAACAAAGGCGAAGAACAGCATAAAAGTAATGTGTTTTTTTGTTTTTGTTACAGCAGAAGAATAAAGATTTACTTGCATGTTCCCACCTAACGCAGCCTTGATGAGATACACAGAATACGTTTAGTTTTGTTATTTTAAGCTCATAAATTTACAGTCCCTGACAAAGTTTATCGCCATGGGTGCGCCCTCTTATATTGATGCTACAATCTTTAGCGCACGCGTGATCCTTACAAATCTGTATGATATCAATATTGAAAACCTTTTGAGCATTAAGCGATACAAATAACGTGTATTCTAGGCTTTACAGCTATTCTGTTGTTTATTAAATCAAAGCCTTAAATGATAATATAACACTTGGCAACATTATTATATAGTTTATTTATAAAATATTATGCGCGCTTTTGTTTTAAACACAAATAAACCTCTTGAGTAGTTATATACACATTTTGTAATTTTGTGTAAACAACAACAAATCATTAATAAACTAAAAGTGAGACCACAATTTTGTACGTCATCCCATATTGAAACTTCCGTCATCTCGTGGTAAAAATAGTAAGTATTATTCTGTTTACTGTGATGTTATTTTTTGTTTTATTTCTTTAACGATGCACTTACTTGAATTTTATTATTGTTTCTAGTGTCTAACACGATTCATGGATAGATGTGTGGTCCTAAAAATATTAGCAAAATATTTAAGTATGAATTTTATATTTATAATTCATCACGTAAATGTTTGAAATTTCTGAAGAAAACATTTAAAATGTCTAAATAATAATAATAACACAATACCAGTTTTAGTAAATTGAGACGTTTATCTTGTTATCAGCTCAGTGTCTGACTCATGTAAGGAAATCGTAATTGCAGTGTAAATGAAAATGACGAAAATAATGTGCGACATACAGTATATTAGTACGTATTCATATTAAATAATAACGTTTCGACCTACTTACTCTGTTAAATAACGTTTATAAAATGATTTAAAGTGTTTGTAGTAATAAATTTGCTAAGCACAACTAAATACATTTTCCTTATTGAAGAAATAATTAAAATCCGCTATAGATTTTAATCTCTATATAAATAAAATAAGAGTTTTGTCTGTACATTGCTTAGAATAGTGTACTTTTTACATATCTTCACGTTTCATACACCAGAGAAGCCGAAATAAACCTTATCTCAATTTCTGTCTGTCTGTC